ACTTACCTTAATTAAGCCGGATGTTATATTGTAAGTAGTCACGTGTCTAGAAACGCTTATTGTTTGTTATCTAATACATACCTTAAGTAACCCGGATGTTATATTGTAAGTAGTCACGTGTCTAGAAACGCTTATTGTTTGTTATCTAATACATATCTTAATTAACCCGGATGTTATATTGTAGGTAGTCACGTGTCTAGAAACGCTTATTGTTTGTTATCTAATACATACCTTAATTAACCCGGATGTTATATTGTAGGTAGTCACGTGTCTAGAAACGCTTATTGTTTGTTATCTAATAGATAACTTAATTAATACGGATGTTATATTGTAGGTAGTCACGTGTCTAGAAACGGTTATTGTTTGTTATCTAATACATACCTTAATTAACCCGGATGTTATATTGTAGTAGTCACGTGTCTAGAAACGCTTATTGTTTGTTATCTAATACATACCTTAATTAACCCGGATGTTATATTGTAGCTAGTCACGTGTCTAGAAACGCTTATTGTTTGTTATCTAATACATACCTTAATTAACCCGGATGTTATATTGTAGCTAGTCACGTGTCTAGAAACAATTATTATTTGTTGTATGTGCACACGATCAGACTATTGTGGTGACACCATTACAGCCAAGGTGGTCTGTGCACATCATCACACTAATGTGGTGACACCGTTACAGCCAAGGTGGTCTGTGCACACTATCACACTAATGTGGTGACACCATTACAGCCAAGGTGGTCTGTGCACATCATCACACTAATGTGGTGACACCATTACAGCCAAGGTGGTATGTGCACACGATCAGACTAATGTGGTGACACCGTTACAGCCAAGGTGGTCTGTGCACATCATCACACTAATGTAGTGACACCGTTACAGCCAAGGTGGTCTGTGCACACTATCAGACTAATGTGGTTACACCATTACAGCCAAGGTGGTCTGTGCACACGATCAGACTAATGTGGTGACACCATTACAGCCAAGGTGGTCTGTGCACACTATCACACTAATGTGGTGACACCATTACAGCCAAGGTGGTCTGTGCACATTATCACACTAATGTGGGGACACCGTTACAGCCAAGGTGGTCTGTGCACACTATCAGACTAATGTGGTGACACCGTTACAGCCAAGGTGGTCTGTGCACATCATCACACTAATGTGGTGACACCGTTACAGCCAAGGTGGTGTGTGCACACTATCACACTAATGTGGGGACACCGTTACAGCGAAGGTGGTCTGTTCACACTATCAGAGTAATGTGCTGACACCGTTATAACCAACTTAGTCTGTGCACACTATCAGACTAAGGTTCTGACACCGTTATAGTAAAAAAAAAAAAAAAATTCTTGCGGACTGGATCCTAATAAGGTAGGCGTCCACCAAAACAATACATCCAGCCAGACGTCCAAGTTAACACGCCACTTCCTTCGCAAGCTTTGTCTTCCAGCTACGGCTGTTTGACCTTGGAAAGCATCTAGAGAGGAGGAGAACAGCACTGAATTTAGTATATTACGAAAAAAAAATTCATGCAGTGAAAATTGTGCTTCAAAGCACTAGTCCATAACCAGTGATCATTGTTGGCAGAAGAAGAGACTGTAAGACCTATTCACTCATCCTTGAAACGTTACTACAGATCCCCTCAACAAGTATCGTAAAACACTAAAATATCTTCTGAGCTAAGATTTTTCACGATGTTATTTATTTATTTATTCTACAGCATAACTTAGTTAGGGAAATTAAATAATTTGGTCATGCCTGTATTGGCTCAGATGTTCCGTTTTTCACAAATGCCTGGAGTTTGAGGTCCTTGTCTTCATCTTCTGGTACCATCTCGAGATCGTTCCCCCAAAACTTCAAACCTATATAAATATATAAAATTTGCTATTAATTTACATGCAACAAACCAAAAACTAATTAGTGAAAACACTTATAAAATATTTGTTATTTTACAAAATCAATTTGTTCATTCATAAATAATTCCCAGAACTAATTACTCTTGTATTAAAGTATAAACTGTCAGAATGGTGTTATAGCCCAGTACTAATTAGTGTAATATTAAAGTAGAAACTGTCAGAATGGTGTTATAGCCCAGTACTAATTACTGTTATATTAAAGTAGAAACTGTCAGAATGGTGTTATAGCCCAGTACTAATTACGTTATATTAAAGTAGAAACTGTCAGAATGGTGTTATAGCCCAGTACTAATTACTCTTGTATTAAAGTAGAAACTGTCAGAATGGTGTTATAGCCCCAGAACAGTAATTAGTAATATTAAAGTAGAAACTGTCAGAATGGTGTTATAGCCCAGTACTAATTACTGTTATATTAAAGTAGAAACTGTCAGAATGGTGTTATAGCCAAGTACTAATTACAGTTACATTAAAGTAGAAACTGTCAGAATGGTGTTATAGCCCAGTACTAATTACTGTTATATTAAAGTAGAAACTGTCAGAATGGTGTTATAGCCCAGTACTAATTACTGTTATATTAAAGTAGAAACTGTCAGAATGGTGTTATAGCCCAGTACTAATTACTGTTATATTAAAGTAGAAACTGTCAGAATGGTGTTATAGCCCAGTACTAATTACTGTTATATTAAAGT